TTTAGATGTCCATAAATAGTCTGGGGAGGAGCTATGGTCTCAAAATGTTTTGAAACTATTACATTGGATTTAGCAAAGAGATCCTGTGTCAGGGAAGGAAGTTTTGAATAGCCACAGTGGCCGTTTGCTCATTGCCAAAAAAGGAAGGAATAGGTTGCCGCAAAAGAAGCGGGGGCGGGAGGGAGTCACAGATCTGTATCAAAATATTTATTCATATGCTGATTAAGGCTATAAATGCAAATTTGGGGGGGAGAGAATGCTATAATTGAAATATAAATAAAGTATATCCCACCCTAAGAAAGACTGTGATCAAAAGGTTCTGATCTTAGGGCCCTGGCTGAAGTCTCAAGGAGTTTTTCTGGTTCTTCAGACAGGGAGACAGATCTTAGGGTGAGTGACCGAAGAGAAAAAGAAACTTTGGATTTTGCTTGTAAAGGATCTTTAAAGCCTGGGAACCCCTCTCCACTCATTTCATAGTGGCACCAAAGCTCACTGGCTCAGCATATGAGTGTGCCTTGCTCTTGCTTCTCTTGCCTGACACACCTCTTGTGGCGATCCAAGGGCTCTCCCCTGTGCCATCACAATACACTCGCCTCCTGACCTCGGGTTTTGGCCGTGAAGTCTCAGCTGCTGATTGGCAACCCTAGTGACCAAGGAATCTCTGTACTGCTTAGTCTGCTGTATAGCTGCTGCTCAGTGCTCAATTCTCTTCGTTCTTCTTCTTCAACCAAATTTGATTGGGTAGTGCATCAAAAAAAGTTGGGCATGTCGTTACCCCCAAAATGGACTGGTTTTGTTTTCTCCCTTCCACTTCCTAGGATTCCATATTCCACCTGAATACCTGAGTTGTAGATCTGCCCCTTTTGTTAAAGGGTTACAAAATGCTGCTATCTCCCCCCTCCCACTGTGTGCACTTTCATTCTCTCCATAACACTGAAAAGGAATTTGTAATGTGTGCAAAGGTTGGGGGTGCGTTGCTGAACTCCTACCACCTGGCATTACTGCTCGGATTATTAGTTCCTAGTAATTTAGTGCACTTGCGCAGGGTCGATTTGTGCCTTTCATTTCTAATTGATCTAGTGGCTGTTTAAATGGCAGCAGGCATCTGTTGAGAGTGGGAAGGTTCATAAGGCGAAATAATTCATAACACCGCCTGGAATTTGCCTTTCATATCCCTCAGCTAAGCCTCGGCAGGGCTGGCTAAATTACGACCAGGGAGTTTTCTCCCCCTCGTATTCTGCTCATGGCTTGAAGAATCTTGCATTAAACTGGGATCAGTCTAGATTAGACTGTAATATGCTGCAGTATTAGTGGCTGCAAATGAAGACTTATACTGGAGTTTAACCCCTTCACCCGCTTTTCTCTTTGTCTTCGTCCTGGAAGGCTTGGCTAATCCGTTGGTTCCTCTGATTTGTTGATGTGTATAATAGATCTTTCAGCTCACCAGACTCCTGGGATAGCTGTAGCACTGAGCATTCAATTTAACAGGCTTTAAAGAAATTAAAACACACTGGCTGTGATTAAATAAAGCATGACTTTCAGCCCCTCATGAAATGGACATATGTTTTCCCCCATTTTCCACATATGTGATGGCAGAAGGGAAATGTGATATCTGATATTATGTTAGGCCTGTGCTGCCAATCTCAGCAGCTTTGTTGCCACATTACAGTAAAGTGGTTTGGAACGCCTGTTTTATTCACAACATACCTCTTACCCTTTCAATGTGATTTAGTACAGACAAGTAGCAAAAAAATTGCAGGGGTGGTGTTAGGAAGGCAAAACCTGAGAATGAGCTGAGTATTGAAGGAACTGGCCAAAGCACTCTCACAAACATCGTCTGTTTTCTTAAAATCATGGGAAATGGATGAAATACTGGATAACTGGAGGAGGGCTAATGCTGTCCCTTTCTTCAAAAAGGAAGGACCTGGAAACTACAGAGTGATCAGCCTGACATCAATCTCAGGGAAAATTCTGGAGCAGATTATAAAACAATCACTCTGCAAGCACCTTGAAAACAACGCAGTAACAACTAGAAGGCAACATGGGTTTGTGAAGAACAAATCCTGCCAGACTAATCTTAGCTTATTTTTTTGATCAGGTCATCCCTGTTAGAGATGATGGGAAGGCTGTAGACATAATATATCTTTACTTCATCAAAGCCTTTGACAAAATGCTCCATGATATTCTGATCAGCAAACTAAGTGTGGACTGGATAGAGCAACTGTCATTTGGATACACAGTTGGTTACAGAATTGTACTCAGAGAGCATTTGTCAGTGGCTCCTTCTGAAACTTGGAGGAGGCAACAAGTGGGGTACCACAAGGCTCAGTCCTGGGCCCGGTGCGCTTCAACATTTTTCCCAATTACTTGGATGAGAGGGTGCGGGGGATGCTTATCAGATTTGTGGAAGACACAAAATTGGGTAGAATGCCATGGAAGGCAGAAACAAGATTCAAAAAGATCTTGATAGACTCAAGCACTGGCCTGAAAACAACAGAATGAAATTTAACAGAGATAAGTGCAAAGTTCTCTACTGGGGCGGGGGGGGATCAAATATATAGTTGCAAGATGGTGGGTTCTTGTCCCCAACCTTGGGCCTCTAGATGTTATTGGACTTCAATTCCCAGAAATCTTGGCCAGCAGAGGTGGTGTTGTAGGGTTCTGGGAGTTGTAGTCCAAGAACATCTGGAGGCCCAAGGTTGGGGACCACTGCTGTAGATTACAAACTCAATATAAGCCAATGGTGCAATGTAGCTGGAAAAAGGGCAAGTGCTGTTTAAGGCTGCATTAACAGAAATATAGTCTCCAAATCCCATGAACTACAAGTTCCCTCTGTTTGGCACTGGTTAGGCCTTGTCTTGAGTATGGTTTCCAGTTCTGGACATCACACGTTAAGAAGGATGCAAAAAAAAAATTGGAATAAATTCAGAGGATGTGCAACAGGGATGATCAGGGGACAGGAATCCAAGCCCAAGAGGAAAGACTGACAGAGCTGGGCATATTTAGCTTTCAGAAAAGAAGACTCAAGGGTGATACGATAGCACTTTTCAAATAGTACTTGAAAGATTCTCATACAGAGGAGGGGCAGGATCTGTTCTTGATCATCCCTGAGCTCAAGTTAGAGAGAGACGGATTTTGGTTGAATAATGGGAAAACTTCCTAATGACTTAGAGCACTACAACAATAGAACCAATTACCTTGGGAGGTGATGAGTGCTCAAACAGTGGAGGCACTGAAGAGAGAATTAAGACAGTCATCTGTAAGATATATAGTGGTGCCTCGCATTACGAGCACTCTGTTTTACGACAAAATTGCTTTACGTTGAAGGTTTTGTGATCGCAAAAGCAATCGCAAAATGATGTTTCCTATGGGGGAATTTCGCTTTGTGATGATCGGTTCCCTGCTTCGGGAACCGATTCTCGCAAAGTGATGATTTTTGGCCAGCTAATCAGCGGTTTCAAAATGGCCACCGGGTAAAAAAACATGGCTCCCCGCTCTTTTCTGGGACGGATTCCTCGCTGCACAGGCAGCGAAAATGGCCGTGCTATGGAGGATCTTCGCTGGACAGTGAGTTTCAAGCCCCTAGGAACGCATTAATCGGGTTTTAATGCGTGTTTATGGGCTTTTTAATTTGGCATTACGACGTTTTCGTAAGACAGCGATTTCACTGGAACGAATTTACGTCGTAATGTGAGGCACCACTGTACTTTGATTTGGATCCCTGCTTTAAGCAGGGAGATGGAGTTGATGGCCTTATAGGCCTCTTCTAACTTCATTATTCTATGATTCTATGAGAGCCAAATGAAGTGCACTGTCTAAATTGGATCTTGCTTACTTATTTTTTCTTTTAAACCTTGTGTGCAATAACCTTAATTTAGGGAATACGCAATGTATGAAGCAAGATTGTGCCTGTTGTTCTGACACCCAGGCTCCACCCCTTGATCATGCTGACTTGGTTAGAGACTTTAATAGCATCACAGATTTGTACACTTTAAAAAGAGCACAGATTACACTAGCATGGTTTAATGTTTAATGTCAGAGAGTGGCTCAAGAGACTGGAGTTCAAATCTCCACTTGGACACTGGGTGACCTTGGGCAAGTCAATTTCTATCAGCCTGACTTATTTCAGAAGCAGCTAAACAAGCCTGCATGCATATAGCTTACATACACACAGAGCTAAACCCTACTGCTGATCCCAGGCAGAAGATATGCATGTGTAATGTCAGTATTTAGAGTAAGTTTCATTAATTCATTGTTTCTACTCTAAAGGGGATTTAACAATCCTGGACAGGTTTAGGGCAGAAAAACTGATCAAGAAATAGAGAAACATAGGAAGTTTTCTTGTACCGGGTTAAAATTTTGGTCCATTGAGCTCCATATTGTCTACACTGATGGGCAGCATCTTTCCAGTCTCAGGAAAGATTCTTTTCGCTTATTCTCTGTTAGGCCATTTTAGAGAGAGAGCCCAGGACTGAACTTGGGAACTTCTGCATTGCCAAGCTGTGCTATGGTTGGGTGGTTCAGTTTCATAGCAGATCAAAACAAAAGAAAAACTGAGCAATATCACCATAATATTATTTCAATGTCCATGCCTCCTGGGGGGTTTCGAGAGTTGTAGTCCACCAAAATAACACTTCTGAGCTCTGAACCTGATCTAAACTGCTTTCTATTAATGAGAGGCAACTGAGATTCACACCTCATGCCTGCAAAGCATCAAGTCAGTGTTGCTCCTAAATAAATGGATGTACTGATTTCTTCCCCGGCACCCCTACTGGGCTGTTCTTTCACAGTATTTTGTGGAGACCAGGAATACTTCATTCCACAGACAGATGCAAGCAAAGAAACTAAGAACACTGAAATGACAAGGGAAGCAACCGTGGGCAGCTGACATGGATGTAATGTAGTGCTGTGCAAAACTGTGCTGTCCATGGGATCATAAACCTGATCTTGGTGACAGTGCTTATATCTCTGAAGTAATCTTGCATTTTCTTTACCTTCAGGCATCCTCTCTTTCCCCTCCTGACCCTGCTGTTTGAGAAATGTGAGCAGGCGACGCAGGGCTCAGAGTGTATCACTTCTGCCAGCTTTGACGTTGACATTGAGAATTTCGTCCATCAGCAAGAACAGGAGCACAAACCATTCTTCAGTGATGATCCTGAGCTGGACAATCTGGTAAAGCTTTAGCCTGGGCTAGTGGATCCTGTGAATAAACCTTACATGGAATGTTTGCTTGTGCAGGCTCTCCAGATCCCCTTCTCCCAACAGGAGGTTGGAAATATAACTCCAAGAATCCTCCTTCACCCAGAAATGCTGGCTGGAGGGGATTCTGGGAGCCAAAGTCCTTCTCCCCAAAAAATTATATTGCCAAGCTATGATCTAAACCTCATCCTAATTGGATCATATTCTCTAGCTGAGCTTTGAAAAACTACTTTTGTTGCTGGGTTGGGTGGGGGGATCTTGGGAGAAGTTCCCTGGAAGTAATTTTTTTCAAGCTCTACAAGACTCCGAGGCATCTGGGCGAAGATTAGCACTAAGAAAGTCCTGGTTCTGATGCTCTAATAATTTCAGGAACAGAACAATTAAGGGAAAATTGCATGTATCCTATTTTGCATAATAAAACCTTACTGTCTTGAATTTCCAGCAGTCATTCATGCTAGAAGTTTGCACAGCTGTTTGCTCGGGAAGAAGTGAAGGTCTGTTACATCAGAGTCATTTGGGAAGATGGTTACATGTGGGATTGACTTTTTTTAAAGGAAGTAACTAATCTAGCTGCCTAAGGGAAGAAAGCTTCTGACATTAAGGAAGTCTCTCCATGTAAAGAGAGTGAGAAACCATCCCTGTGATAGATATCTTATATTCATGCTTATGACTAAGTTTATGTCTATATACATTTATGGCTTGTAGTGTGATAAAATATGATAAGAATCACCAAGCCTCAAGAAAATGGTCTTTATGGCCTTTGTTTCACATGCTTATAGCCCATGATTTTATAAAAGGCTAGGCAACAAAGCTAATATTAATTGTGTGACAGTCCCTTAAGTTTCTATATCACTGCTTCAGAAGAGCAGCCAAGGCCCGCTACTGAAAAAGGAGGCAGGACAGATTTGGGTATGGAGTTGCACAGAACTTGCAAAGACCAAAAAACCAAACCAAACCAAAGAAACATGAATGCCTAATATATACGTGTACAGATCACCCACCTACAACCATGTTCCCTCCACTTGTACTGTACTACAGCTCCAATCATTCATGTCCAGAAAGGTTGGGACAGTACAAATTGTAGTTAAGTACAGCCAGAGGACACCAGGTTGAAGAAAGCTAGTATAGATGCCAGTTCAGAAATTTCCAGTGGGATATAGTCGTGCTTATCTGTTGCTGGAAAGTCAACAGAGAGTCTTATGACATCTGCATGAGTTTTTCTTGCCATAAGCTTAGATCAAACAAACTTGTTAGTTATTAAGGTATCCTAAGACGTGGTGATGAGGGTTAAACCACAGGAGCCTCTGTGCTGCAGGGTCAGAAGACCAGCAGTCGTAAGATCGTATCCACGCGACGGAGTGAGCTCCTGTCGCTTGTCCCTAGCAGTTTGAAAGCATGTAAAAATGCAAGTAAATAAATAGGTACCACCACGGTGGGAAGGTAACAGCGTTCCGTGTCTAGTTGTGCTGGCCACTTGACCACGGAAACTGTCTTTGGACAAACGCTTTGGCTCTATGGCTTGGAGACGGGGATGAGCACCGCCCCCTAGAGTCAGACACAAGTGGACTAAATGTCAAGGGGAACCTTTATCTTTACTAAGGCCCTTCATTTGTTTTGCTGCAATTTGGAAATGTTTACTATAATAGAAATTTAAAAATTTTTCTTACATCTTAATGTGGTGATGAACACCATGATCAGGTGACCTGTGTGCCTGCCTATATTGGGTGCTGTCCAGTTGTTATCCAGGTGTTAACTGTCTGGAGACAAATTTAAAACTTCTGGTGTTGGTTTTCAGAGTATTTTATCTTTAAATCAGATTTGGATTGGACAAACTTCCAGGTAGAGGATACTGTCCTAAGGGAATCCTTCAAAGAGATTGTCTTCCATTAAGTAGGATACATGCCCACTTTAGGCTCAACCCTACCATTAGGTAGTTTGATGTACAGTTGGCTCATATGATATATTCAAGAAGAAGAAACCAGACGGCAGACAAACGTCTGCATGCTCTGTATCTTGACCTGCATCACCTAAACCATGGTGCTGATCTCAGGTGCAGTGGAAAATGTTGATCCATTGCCAGTGCAAGAGTACTATTAGACTGCAAACTATTAGCCTAATTTCAGTATAGAAACTGTACAAAGACTGTATGCCATTTTGTGTTCTATCATGCACAACAGTCAGTCATCAAATAAAAAATATATATTCAGGCCCTTTAAAAAGCATTTCTGCTTCTTAGGATGTTGCCAGCACCTTGACAGGTCATGCTGCCTGATTTGCATAATTAGTGCATAGTTATCTCTCTTAGGTACTCATTATGCAAATCCATGTATTGTGATTGGCCAACCCCATTATTACCCAAATGGAGCATGTAGCTTTGAATGGTTATAACGTTGTTATGGCTCAGTAACCACACTGTGCATATGCTGATAATTCAACTAACAGGGTAGTATAATCCGGCCTCTGTAACTGCTTCAATATCTTTGGGATCTGACAGCAAAATTGCTGCCTCAGCTTTTATGCCCCTTTGATAGAAATAGGACCACCTCAAATAAATCTTAATGGGACTTACAAATGTCATAAATACCAAGAAGGAAACTTGCAGAATATTAGAATGAATGTAGCCCCTTGATCCAGCTTTCCCAATGGCTCTCAAGGCAATTATTGCACTCTTTCCATTATTTCTCTTAGGCTCCACATTCCCTGAACTTAAAAATCTGATTCATCTTGTAGTTGGCCTTTCTTCTTCTTTTTTCTTCTTCATCAATGTGAGTTGCCACAGGAGTTGACCCAGGGCAATAAGAAGATCCCTGTGGGATCAAACGAAATATTTTTCTAGTCCAACATATTTTTTGTCACACTGCCTAGCCAGATGCACCCAGAAAACCTACCGTAGGACCCTAAAAGCAACAGCCTTTTCACATTTTCATTTTCCAGCAGGGTGTGGTCAGATGGCGAGAAAGGCTCTCGTTGGATTGTGCTCGAAAGGGTAACTTGACTGAGAACCATCTCCCTTAAAGGCACCCTTCCCTCTGCACAGGAACCACTCCAGCCCAGCTCCAAACAGGGGCATCTCTTCTGGGGCACAGAAAAGGGTTGGGCTGGATTGTGATTAGCAGAAAATAGCTTGCCCTGGACCAGGTCACAAGTGGTCCAAAATGTTAGCTCTTTCTCCATCTGATTGCATCCTTGTACTCAAATGGACACTGCCTCTTAATCCAGAGGTGGTGTGTGGCCACACTGATGATGATGATTACTTGTAATCTATAAATGTTTAAAATCTACTTTTAAACCCATATCTGACCATGGTGTTGCTTCATATTGTTAGTGAAGCACCCTATGAGTTTCATTTCCCATTTGCTTGGAGCTTGGAAGTAACTATAGTTATAATTATTATATACCCAGTAATGAATACTTTTTTCCATTGAAGGTATACAACTACTGCATTCTGTCCTTATTATAGATGAACATGGGATGACTTCATTCCTTTGGTGGTGTAGTTTTAGTAACTTTTATACAGGTGTTGTAAAAGTTATCTTTGGGGCTGCATCTTCCAGATTTTCCCAGTTAGCATACAAAAATACAAAAGTGATATAGTTATGGGGTGTGGCCTTATTAAATGATAGAGGAGGGATATCACACAGCTCAAGTGCTGGCTGGATGCTTCAACCTCATGTCCTATTGTGTTTGTTGAAAAGATGACAAAGTGGAAGGGAGAGTACAGTGTTTTTTATACACAATATAAAAAAGCAGCATTTAAACTGCTTAAAAAAATAATAAAGTAATACTCAACTGCTTATAATAACAGTCAAAACTTACTGTTTCTGGGCCTTGAAAGTACAAGTTCAGCTTTCCATCTTTGTCAGCTTTGAGCATAAACAGCATAAGTCACACAAGTGATCGGCTTGAATCTTTCCTTTTTGACATGGGTGCACAAACAGAGGAGCAAAGCTAGTTATTGTTTAGGAATCTGGACACATTTGACTATACTGTATATTCCTCCCATAAACATTATAAATTTCCTGGAGTGTGATGTAGCATTACTCTGGGACATTGTATGAAATACATGTGGGCGCACCCTTAAGGAGACCATCATTCTGATTCTCTGCAGTGTATCAGAATGAACACTACATGGGGTGTTCTTATGAAATGTAAATGCAGCGCCCAGCTAAGGTCTGCTCTTAAAGTTTGCACAATGCTCTGGACCAGGTTTCGTTAAAACACTTTAAGGCCATGAACAAAAATGGAGCTGGCTGGTTCCTAGATTCAGCTGATTGTATTAGTTGCCCAGGACAGGCTTCCATTCTACTGGCTATTTATATTATTTAGGGATTATTCCATCAATATATTATTTCAATCCAGAATGCTCCCATTCATCCCATCATGCTGAATTTTTTCAGCTGAAGATGCTTCTGTACTGGAACTGTGCAGTTATACCTGATGATTTTGAAAAGCAGAGTGATCCTGGCACTTCCTGTGATCTGTTATAATGAGATGCACTAGATCTGTGGTGGGATAAACAACTCACTGATCCATTGACATCATGGATATTTTTAAAGCACAAAAGTAACCGATTGGTGTGTGTTGTTGTTGTTGTTGTTTTACCTTCTTTATTTCAGTGTATAGAATAGGGATCTAGTAAATCTTCTCTTGCCTCATCAGGCTGAGGAACTGCAAAATTATTCTCCTTGCCCTGCAAGAGGGCAAGATATTTTTGTGGCACTCCTGACAAGAGAAAAGAATGAGAATTACATTTTTGCAGATTAAATAAAATCATGCAAACAGTGCTTCAATACAAATAACACAAAGCTGCTGCTATGTTGCATCAAATAGCAGAGAAGAGAAGGGAAACAAAATGCAAGGGAGATAGGGAAAGTTACAGAAAATTGAATGCTGACTTCCAAAGAATATCAAGGAGAGACTAGAGGGCCTTCTTAAATGAACTCTGCAAAGAAATAGAGGAAAATAATAAAAGA